ATTATGTAAATAATATTATCACAAGCATGCCTAAGTAAATACACGCTGTATTGCAGGCTGACGGCTTTAGAACAAAATACTGCCAAAGTTACTATGACAACGGATTGTACTTCGTATTTCCGTATCAACGAATCCCACACATGTTCGCGTAATAATTTCCATATTTTCTCACATATATATGATCGTTGTTTGGAATTTAAACACACAGTTGCGTGCGTAAGGAATACATTAATACTTTGGCTACAAATACGCATGCTTTTCGTTATAAAAGACAGAGAAAATGGGTTAAAAGTCGACGAATCCCACTTTTCTATTTACTAATTATGATGTCATATTTCAACTTACTATAAATAGTGGGAATCGTTCGACGAAAGTCGGAATTTCATGGAATCAAATTGATTTCGCTCGAAGTTAATCACATAATCAATTCTTTGACATATTTACAATAAGCTAAGAGAGAAAAGCAGCAAGAATTGTTGAACTTAATTCCCGTTTCTACATAAAATGTGACTGGGATTTGTGTGGGATTCGTTGATGCGTCATAAGCCACTTAGTTAGGGATGACCAGAATACATATTTGTTAACGCCTTAATGTAGCCTACGTTAAATTAAAATACATCATTATAGATCACTGTTCAGTGTATAATATTAACTCAGCAAAGCAACGAGCACAAGCCGCAATGTTTCTTTGTTCATCCCGCGGAATTTGTCTATGAAGCGGAAACATTCGCCATCTTACATTCAACATTTCTGTGTTCACGCGATCAATAGATCCATTGCTAATTAAAATAAGTGGGGCGTCACTCGTTGCAAAGAATGGCGTGTCCCTCCCGAGAACAATATATTTGCTCACCTGATTTTTCGGGACTGGAAAATGAACCGTGTCACCTTCTAAGACCTGCAAAAACTCGCATCACGGTATAAGGGTGGTTTCCCCAACCCTACATTTTAAGCCATTTATACGTGTATGATTTTATACCTATATCACGCTTAACTGAAATTATTTTATTATGAGCCGACCAGCCAAATAATGGGTAAACACTTGTTCAGGTACTTGGTAAATTTAAACTTTTTAATCAAGGCTGAACATGTAATAAATACTTGATATTTATGATACAATATTCTGCCAGTTGCATACAATCAGTGACAAAAGGTTTTTGGACAGTGGTATAATATATACATATCTCCGCATTTCCAAATACTGTTCGGCATAAAGCCACTATCCCTCCCTCCCCCACCCTAAACAATGTTGGGTGGCTGGCAAGGAACATTGTGCGCTGGTATTTCCACACACAACATTGAACGGGGGGTGCGGGTGTCGATTATTTTGTAAATGTACGCTCTTTTGCTATTTTGTCCAAAGTGTTTTGTCACTGATTGTAGTCAAAAGTATCTAGTTTTAAGAAAGTTAATCTTAAAATAAGATATATTTTCTTAAAACAAGAAAATGATTCATCTAGAAATATTTTCTTAATTAGAATTTTTTTCTCGCTATTCTCCCTAGTAAAAATTTTCTTGTTTTGAGAAATATTTTGTTAAAACAAGTTATATTTTCTTAATTTAAGATTTAATTTCTTATTATTTAAGAAAAGTTTTCTTAATTTAAGAAAAATTTTCTAGTTCTAAAAAAATTTCTTATTTTAAGAAAAAGTGCACTAGAAAAATGTTTCATTATTTTCTTGAAATGAGATATATTTTTCTTAAAACAAGAAAATATGTTTTCTTATTTTAAGAAATATTTTAAGAAATATTTTCTCAGTTAGAAAATATTTCTCGCTATTCTCCCTAGTAAAAAATTCTTGTTTTAAGAAAATATTTCTTGAAACAAGTTTTTTTTTTCTTGAAATAAGAAAACGATTTTTTGCTGTGTATTAACCGGCGTACTTTATACTTAGCTTGGCTGTCTCTGGTAGTACGCTGGAATTCATGCCGATCGCTAGCCGGTTTATATAGAAAAGTGTAATTTCATCTTCACGAGTTTGATATGAAACTTGGAATGTTGGATACCCGGTCGGGATGGGAAATGTAATTTCGCTTCTCAAAAACGTTATCTCTTTATTAAACTTGTCACATTAATGACATTGTTGAAGACCATGGCATCATGTGGGCTCTGAAGGACACTAATGAAAACATCCCGGGGATATTAAAAAGGTAAAGTTGTATGGGACAGATTAGTTTGGCCTAAAATTGTAAAATTGCAATTCATATTTTGGACGCTTATAATTTCTTGCAACGTAAGTTATTTTGAAAAGAAATCATTGTTTATATATAAATAGGGCTGTAAATGGTAAAATATGCCACGTTTGGAGGAAAGGTGTGACGCGAATTTAGAAGCGCTATAACATTTTAGTTATTTCTTCCACATATCTTTAAAAATTTTCTCTCATTGGCTGTTTTATTAACTTTCAAAAACTAAAAAATCGCGTTGCGTTGTCGAATCCCGTCCGGTGTGTCTGGACCTTTAATTTTAAATATTCACACGAACGCGCACACGGTGTCAATTGAATTTGTGTCTGTGCATGTTGCTAGGCGATACCTGTTAAATGAGTTGTGAGAAACCTGATTATCCGCTTTTAAGCTTAATACGTCAGAACACGTTGAATTGACCAATTTCATATATTAAGTATGCAGGGAAACAAAATAGAACTCGGAGATTTTGAAAGCTTCGTTTTGCGGTGTTCAAAAGAAGAAATATGTGGCAAAAGACGTGAACTGCTATTGCTATTGGATGGAGATGTTTTCTATCATGTTAAATGTTGGCCAACCGAAATGGAAAGGATTCTGTGGAAGAAGCCACTGTCAGATGAGGAAACATTTAAATTAATGTTATTTTTGTTGGGTAATGGATGTGGACCTCAGCTTACTTGTGAGTGGATCCTGACATCGACTTACTGGGGTAGGCAGAAGACCAGAAAGAGATGTGATCAGATGAAGTGGATTTTTACCAATATCAATAGATATGACGCACGTTTGTTCTATTTTGACATGTTCCAAAGAAGAAATATGTAGCAAAAGACGTGAACTGCTATTGCTATTGGATGGAGATGTTTTCTATCATGTTAATGGTTGGCCAACCGAAATGGAAAGGATTCTGTGGAAGAAGCCACTGTCAGATGAGGAAACATTTAAATTAATGTTATTTTTGTTGGGTAATGGATGTGGACCTCAGCTTACTTGTGAGTGGATCCTGACATCGACTTACTGGGATAGGCAGAAGACCAGAAAGAGATGTGATCAGATGAAGTGGATTTTTACCAATATGGATAGATATGCCGCACGTTGGTTCTATTTTGACATGTTCCACAAAATACATTTATACGTGAATGGCGAGGAGAGGAAAATAAAAAAACTAAAAGCATGAATCCATGATAAAGTACAGCCGTATTTTAGTAAATTTCCTGAAAGACAAACTGTAGGAGTATATGATAGTGAATATGTAAGCGGTATTGACAATATATATTTAGTATGTTAAAATGTAACGAAATTTAATTTAGTATTAAAATGTAACGAAAATCTTTCCATGGCAGGAATTAATTCTTCCTTATAATTACACAGCAAAAAATCATTTTCTTATTTTAAGAGAAAAAAAACTTGTTTTAAGAAAATTTTCTTGAAATAAGAAAATATTTTCTTGGGAGAATAACAAGAAAATTTTCTTAACTCATTCTCATCCGGTCGAAAAGTACCAATTTCGAGTGGTGTTGTTTCAAACGCTTATATCTCTCAAATTATACATCGCACGGAAACAGAAATTGCATCGTTCGAAAGAGGAGGACTTCCGCTTTCCAACAATACCAATTTCAATTTCATCCGGAGCTTGGTTAACGATTTACTCGCATAAATTTGCATAAATTATGATATAAAAAAATGTTGCAATTATGCATAAATGTATTTAGCGGTTCAAATTTCAAATATGTCAAAAAATTTTATGAGTATGACTGAAAGACACGGTTATGATCTACAAGTACCCGAAGTTTCATGCATGTAGCATAAATAGAAATATTTTTATTGAATTTTTATATAAACTAGGTAGTGGAGTAAAATTTACATTTTGTGCTCACATGAAACAAATACCTTTATCAAAGGTCCTTTTTTATTGCTGCAACATGTTATCAATACAAATTTCCAATATTTCTTACTCTCCAAAGATAGTATGGCACCAAAATAAGTCTGTGATACCCACAAAAGAACACTCAAATCATGATTAGCAAAATGTCTTTATTTCTACAATTACTACATACATTCTTAGATAATCATTACACCATTGACTTTAGTTATTAGTGGCATAACCAGCCTCAAAATTGGGTCATGCTATTCAAATTTGAAATAATCACTACTCATTTGTTTAGAAATTGATTGTTTTCACAATCTAGAACATGAAAATATTTGCAAATAGCATGACCAAGTGTTGTTGGGCTGGCATCATCATAATTAGTAGTTATAAAAAAGTAATGTTTTCCAAGGCAGTAATGTTTGCTAAAGCAGTAATGTTTGCCAAAGCACATAATTGGATTATGTGGTGAAAATATTTCCTTTATATTGTACTACAAAAGACCTAAGACTGTAACCAAACTGATATCAGATCACCACGTCATACCCAAATCTGTTGCGATGAATATCTGGACTTCTTCCTGTATAAATTTCAAAGTCGTAATATAACCATTAGGATTGTCTGCAGCAACCCACAGATTTATTCCCCACATAGTAGGTCATCTAGCTTTCATGAACTGCCTAACCCCCAACCTATTTCTTGATTTGACAGTGTGTTTGTCTGCAACAACAATATTCTGTGACGGCTGGTACAGTTGTTGATGCAGTTTATTGCTGTAGTCTTTAGTACAGGATCTACCATATTCATAAAAGCCATAAGCGCTTTGTACCTAACCCGAGAAATTATGTCTATTGCCCACAGACCATGATATAAGGTTTTTACACTCCAATAATTTTCAATCTCACTGTCGACCTTTAGCAAACCTGCATATTATACTAAAAGGCAATCAACCTCTCAAGGTTGGTGGACTGCAAGACCCTTTTTTATTAGTATATGGGGATAACTTTTGAGTTATTTGTATGTGGGCATATGTATTGGTATGGCCAGGAAACTACCTCCTGAAGCATTCCCTTAGTAAAAAAGAGTCGAATGAACTCAAGCTCACAGTTCATTGAGCCGAATGAACTCAAGCTCACAGTTGATCGAAATGGATCCTGGACATGTCAGTGAGGAGCAAAATCTGGGAGAACATTCCTGGCATCAGGATCATCATATCCGTCATGTACTATGGGGCCTAGTGGGGATGCTAGACAGGGAGCTTTCGAAACCTTAGGTCCTAATGGCTGGGCTTCCCTCTACCTCTGCTCATCCCCCTACCTTCCCTCTGGGTTGGTGAGTGGGGTTCTCATGACTCATCAGAACTCTACTTCCCTGAGGCTATGAAACAGGAACAGCAGATAGGAACAGGATCAATATATTCATCAGTGCGAATAAAAACTTTTATAGACATGGTGCCATATAAAATTATAAAAAGAGCCAACTAGTAAGATATAAGTATGAATACTTGGCTATTATGTATGTAACAAACAACCAAACATGTGCTCAAGGCTCATTTTACTTCGCCTAGGAATCAGAGATTTTTATGCCTAAAACACCATAAATTTTCGTCAACAATATAAAAAAATACCATTTATATTTGTCAATTTCAGTATGAAACGATTATTTCAACACAAAAAAGCGATATGAGGACATACTTGGTCGTACTAGTGAAGCTATACTAAATACAAATAAATTTACAACGCCATGGCAACGGCAAAACATTGAAATAAATTGTCTAGAAATGATACAAATACTTGCCTTGAAACTCCAGACACGACTCCCAATGCCAGGTTGAGATACTTGTCTTCATACGAAGACATTCCATCATTACTAGCACTATCAGTTTGCAAAATAAAGCCAAAAACGTCTTCAGAATGCGATTCAAACAAAACTACAACACAATACATTTCAACGCTTGTGCGTTCCCGTGCGCGATAATCAGGAAAATTGCTCTAAAAGATTTGTTTTTCTCCCTAAGCCAATCAAAATCCGTATCTAGGGTAAACAAACACTCCGGAAGTGATTCCTGCAGTCTTTTACCAGGAAACTGCAATGCTTTACCAAGAATTTGGCGTCCGAAGTTGGCTGAACACTTTCCGATCACAAGAATTGCCATAATAGGCTTAGATTATTTCGCAATTTCCCGAGACTGCTCCGAGCTATAGAATGGAAGATGGCGATTCTTTTGGTATATTTGTTATTATTATACGTGGAAAAGAAGCAAAAAGACGAGCATTTGAATCAGGCGGAACATTCAAAATGCAACTGCAAAATTGATAATGTGTCATTTGCATAAATTTCACCGCATTGATCATTTCAAGGTAAGAAATTCGCTTGAAATTGAGCGAGAAACAATAAAATTATATGAATATTTCTGAATATATAGTATCGATCAAGCGGAATTTTTTGGTGGTATTTTCGTATGTCTACTGCAAATACTCGCGAAGTTCTTTAATATTTAATCTTCCCGTCATATACGTCGGAAATTAATATTGGCGGATCGAATTGAGTTAATAAGAAAATTTTCTTAAGAAAATTTTCTTAATAAGAAAATTTTCTTAAGAAAATTTTCTTGAGAGAAAATTCTTAAATTGAGAAAATATTTTCTTATTTTAAGAAAATATTTTCTCAAATTAAGAAATTTTTTTTCTTAATAAGAAATTTTTCTTGTTATTCTCCCAAGAAAAAAGTTTTCTTGAAATAAGAAAATTTTCTTAAAATGAGAAAATAATTTCTTATTTTAAGAAAATAATTTCTCAAAACAAGAAATTTTTCTTAAAAAGAATTTTCTTATTAAGAAAATTTTTTTGTTATTCTCCCAAGAAAAAAAATTCTTGAAATAAGAAAATTTTCTTAAACTAAGAAAATAATTTCTTATTTTAAGAAAATAATTTCTCAAAACAAGAAATTTTTCTTAAAAAGAATTTTCTTATTAAGAAAATTTTCTTGTTATTCTCCCAAGAAAAAAAATTCTTGAAATAAGAAAATTTTCTTAAAATAAGTTCTTATTTTAAGAAAATAATTTCTCAAATCAAGAAATTTTTCTTAAAAAGAATTTTCTTATTAAGAATGTGTTGTTTGGGTGTTTATATATACAGGTACTCAGGTGAATATTGTTTTTGATGTTACTCTGAGTGTATATGCAGTTAGCAGAGCATTGGACTAGTATCCCAAAGGTTGTGGGTTCGATTCCCATCATGGTCAGGCTAACTTTTTAGCCTGCCCGGTGTGGATATACACTCAGAGTAACATACAAAACATCAAATTATTGTCAATTTATACAAGTTCTTTTTTCAGCCACTGTTACACAACTAGGTGTAGTTCTGATTGCACAGCAATGTGTTGTAGCAAATTTAAGTTCTCCTGAAGACTTGAAGCAGTAATTTTTCAACTCTTTCCACATGACAAGCAATATTATCTGACAAACCGTTTGTTCAAAGTCCATAGATTTCTTTATAATGCACATTAAACACTGTTCCGAACACATCATGCAAATGCCACTGGAGATCCATCATATATACATCCTTATACAGCTAGTAATCTGTAAAAGTTTACTTACATATTGAGAATGTAAGCATCACTCTAAGGCCCTGTTCACATGATCCCGGGATAAACAACTGCCCCGCGACAAGTCATTGACCCGGGGTACTGATATCTTCTGTTTACATGAACAAAACTAGCGCGGGTCATGCCTATAAATACATTACGCGGGAATCATAAAATATTCCCGCCAACGTGAAACGGTGAAATATTGCTAAATAAAAAACATTCTGATAAACGCAAGTCGTATTTTATGTTATGATATTTACAAATAGAACGTAGTTGATTATCAGCCGTAGTAAAATGTGCTCAATTCATTGTTTCTGGTTGACCAGATCAAATTCTTTGAGTAGCATGCTACACTTCTTGGTTTCAAACATGATATTAGCGACAATTTTATTTTAATATTATTAGAATCATCACTTATAGATTTCTAATGGTATCTTCAATCAAATAACAAGTTTTTGTGGAGTCCAACGCGCTCTAAATGTAATTTTAGCCGCGATTTTGATCGTTTTACAAAAAAATGTAATTATCCCGGGACAAAGTTGCCCCGGGGCAAATTGTTCACATGAGGAAAAGTTGTCCCGGCTAGGCGAGTGTCCCTGTCTACAGAGGCGAGGCACTCGGGTCAATTCTTGTCCCGGGGCAAGTAAAATATAATGTGAACAGCACTATTCTTTTATTAAGGAGCCGAGACAATTTTTATCCCGCGACAATTGCTTGCCCCG